TATAGTGGCGTTTTAACAGATACATCCGATAAAAGATTAAAGGATAATATTAAAGAAATTGACCAAAAGAAAGCAATAGATATAGTTAAATATATTAAACCCAAAACGTATATTAAGAAAGATACGAAACGAAAATCATTAGGTTTTATCGCAAATGATATGAAAGAAGTATTACCAGATGAATGGGGTAATATTATAATGGATGGTAAAGATGGATATTTAAGAATGGACTACACAAAAGCAACGCCCATCTTATGGAGCGCCTTGCAGCATTTATTGAAAGAAATCGAAGAAAAAAATCTGTGGCTTATTTAAAGGGAGAAATAACTAAAATAAAAGATAAGTCTAATTAATGATTAAATTATTTAACGATAAAATTGATAAGAAACTAAAAATAAGAATATTTACTTTAACGAAAAATATACAAGGAAACTATTAGCATTATATTATAGTTTCTATAATTGGAGAGAAATAGCAAGAATAAAAGCAAAAACTGATGAAATATTAACCGCAATAGGAATTTTCTAATCTAATAATATATGGGAAGTTTATTTTCAAAAAAAACCGACAATGAGAATTGCTATATAACTCAAATAAACAACATAAACGAGGAAGAATTAGATTTAAGCAACATAGACAGGCTACAGATCAAGGTGATGAAAGAAATGATAAAAGATATAAAGGAAGTGAAAGAAAAGAAGAGCGATAAAATAATGTATCGTCTGCCTATCCAAGTTTGCAATTATTCTGCTTTCTGATCAATAATATTATGAAAATATGATTATTAATCTTCTGCTGATGACTTGAAGTATTCTTGGTGTTTTTTGCACTTCTTGTGTCTTGACTTGTTTTTATAAACATATGTATTTCCACAAGCGCATTCAGTTTTAGCGAGTAATTTATCTCTATTGTTTTCACGATATATCTTGTCGTTCTCTCGCTTTTTTCCTTATTAGCCTCACGATAAATTTTGTCACATTCTCTCTTTTCTTCTTTATGGATTTCTCTAAACTCTCTACCTACTTCATCGGCTTCCGCCTTACTTCTGTATGCCTTAACCATATTTAGGTTTGCCTTTACCTCTTCAATATATTCTCTTTCACGCTTTCTTGCTTCTAACGAATTTGCGATGTTTTCAGTTCTAATCAAAACCATATCCCAATTGTCCCAACTACAGTTTTCTCTTATTGTTTTATATGAATCTAAGTTATGAAATCTAACATTTGGATTGATACACGCCTGCCTGTGTGAATATTTACGCTTTATAAAATCTGTCGTATGACCAACATAGCAGTCCGCTATACTCAGGTCTTTACATACAATTTTGTAAAAGTGAGTATTGGTGTAATATATCGCTTTTCTCGGCATAATTCTATAACATCTTATAAAGTATTATCTCTTTAAATGTCTTCATCGTCAATTTTAAACTTTTTCTCAAAACGAATGTAAAAAGTTTTATTAATGTCTTGGCTATTGCAATTTATATAAAAAAAGCTGTATGGTTTATCATTCACCGCCTGTTGGTACATATCATATAAGGTTGCTTTATCAACAAGCGAGCTATTTTCCAAAAAACTATTTACTTCTGTCATATTTTTAAGTTTAAAAATATATAGCGAACTCGCATTTAACCTAATTATTGGAGCAGTTGAAGAATACTTTTGGAGTGATAGAATACAAGAAACGGCTTGATGTCTTCCGCGTGTAAATAATCCGTGTAGCATATTAGAATATCTAATAAATTTTGGATCGTCGCTATGATCGTCAATGACATTACATATACTGAATAAATGATGCTGTTTGTTTTTCTTTTGATATTCAACAACTTTCTTTTGACGATCTAATATTTTATGTAAATCAGATGGATCGAAACCCTCAAAATATAAATCTTCTTTTGTATCATCCACATTCATTACTTCTTTCTGATATTTCTTAACTTCATTAAAAGCAGGATCTGAATTGACACTGGGACTAAAAATATAAAATCTTTCGAAGGATCCACGATAAATATTTAGTAAAAGGTTTTGGATTAATACTGTTTACCGCCCGTAGAACTGGCAACAACTATTGAACGAAACGGCAGTGATGGCTTTGCTAATATTTAGATTCTGGTATATTTATAGGCTTTACGACGGGAATATTATTATTCATTATAACTACATAGAAAATTATATCTTTATTAATATATGGGTGATTCTGATGACTATTTAAAGGTTATAGATGAGATAAAGGAAATAAATATAATAAAGACACCGAGATACAGAATGTGTTGTTATAGTTTGTTAGAGTTTTTGAAAGCAGTCTGTTATTATTTTAAAAATATTAAAAAATCTAAGTAATATAAATGAATGATGAAAAATACAAAGAGATTGTAGGCGGCATTAAAATTAATAGTAATGGTTTATCTTGTCTTGCTTGTAGATGCAGAAGAAATGTTTTTGTAAAAGATAAAAAGAAAATAACTGATGAAACAGGTACAACAATAATAGAAGAAAGTATAGAAACATCAACAATAGCATTCGGTAGGGGGACAACTCCGGAAATTCAACCGAGAACACTAACAATTGAAGAATGGATAGATGAACTTGAGAAGAAAATAGATGAAATTAAAAGTAAAAAAATTGAAGATATTGATACAGAATTTAAAAGAGGCATAACAGTAGATGAACGTTTAATCGCTCTCGAAAAGGAAGTATATGAACTGAAACAAGTATATAAATTACAACTAATGGATTGAAAACATTATATAAAAATTAAAATATACTGTATAATGACAGGTACAGTCGTGTCACTTTTGGCTTTTTGAAGAAGGAGAAGAAAACCCCCAGTGTTTTACATTGGATGGTCGCACGAAAGGGGAGTAGTGCTTGAACATTCAATAGCACTGCATAAGATGGTGCTTATTTAGTTTTATAGCATTGATCATATCCCAGCTGAGATATGAAAAATGTTTATCAATATATATATATATATGTTTCCTATGCCCAGATATACAGACGAAAAAATAGTAGTGTCTTTTGACACTTTTGAAAAAGAAGAACAATTAGATTTACAAGACTTTAAGTTTTGCGCGGTTTGCAAACAGTTGCGAGATATGGAACAATACGAAAGCCTTTTTAAAAAGAGGCAATGTAATAAGATATGTAGAAGGTGTTTAAATCAAAATGCTGAATTGAAGAAGTTTTGGTATTTTAAAAGCTGTATTAAACAAAGAATTGACAACACACAAAAATAATATTTAGAAATATTTTTAAGAAAATATATTTAAAGAAATATTGTGTATAATAATATATATAGTAATATGACCACGGCAAAAGCAATTGAAGACCTGACCTTAGACGAAATAAAAGAGCAGTTGGCTATATACCAGAGATTTTATTATCATAAAAAAAGCAAGAGAAACAATACTGGGAAGCAAAAAAGAAAAGCGCTGAACAATTCGTTAAAAGACAAAAATTAAACAAAATACTTGAAGACAACGAGAAAGGGATTAAGGTAGAAAATATTGACTTAGATGAACTGAACAAGAAGAAAGGGAGAAAGGTAATACCTGTTGAAAAAGCTGTAATCTTGAAGAATGTAAAGCCTGAGAAAAAACAAGAAGAAACAGAAACTGAAAAAGAAGAAGAGAAAAAACCTGTTAAACAACCGAGAGCGAAGAAAGTAAAAAAAAGGAGGAAGAAGAGCAATAATAATATTTTTGATAAATATATTTGTATTTTTATCAAAAATATATTGGTATTTTTTATCAAATATATACTGTAAAAATTTGGGTTTTTGGGAGCTCAAAAATGAGGCGTCCAGTAATTTTTTGGACGTGCGTCCCGTGTTTTTTTGGATGCAGACCCCGTGTTTTTTTGGATGGTCGCCTCCTTCAAAAAATGAGGCGTCCAGTGTTTTTTTGTATCAGCGTCCAGTGTTTTTTTGGATGCAGACCCCGTGGGGTTTTGGACGGATGCCCAAAATCTTTATAAACAAATTCTTTAGAAAAACATTTAAAGAAATACTATGTTATATATTTAGATGGTGTGCGACCTGTGTAATGACCATAACACGACTTCACTTTTGGTGTGTAAAACCGTTTTACCTGATAGTATAAATATGCAGTTGAAACCTTATCTGAGATGCGAAAGGTGTAAGCATTACTTGCATAAACGATTTATGATATTAAGTAAAAACAATAACTTAGATAATATAATATATAACTATAATTTAAAAGATATAAAACCACATCTTAAAACACCATACACAAAAAACAACTATGTAAAATATCTTTGGGGCATATCAGATATAACTCATTGTATCAAGTGTTACACCGGAGGGCGG